TCTCTCTCTCTCTCTCTCTCTCTCTCTCTCTCTCTCTCTCTCTCTCTCTCTCATGTGCCAGGTACTAACCTGTGAAGATGGCACTGTGCTGCAGGTACCTCGACGATGAGCTGGAGCTATGGCGCTGCAGGTAAGTCTCCCTGGCCTCCGCCCAATCTCTATCTCTCTCCAGTGCTACTCTAGCCCCTAATAGCGCCCAGCGCTGAAAACTACTGCAGTGCTCCTACAGAGTGCTGCTGCCAAATCCTGAAGACTACCTCCTGCCTCCTGAACTGCACGTGAAGTGCCTTGGAAGTCCCTATGAACTACCTGCAGCCTGCAGGGCAGGCCAGTCCTATATAGTGCTGGCCCGTCCAGGAGGCTGCTCTTGCCAATGCCAAAACGTGCCAGACCCTGGTGTTGAAGCTCAAACAAAGGTTGTCTTGAAAAACAGGCCCAAAATGGCCTGTGCTAAAACCCCGGTCTGGTGCCCGGGTTTCAGGGAAGGTCGATCTTATGAGGGCCTGAAAATGGCCCTCCGTTTCAGGCTGAAAAGACTCAGGGCCTGGAGGGCCCTTTTTAGGCTGAAACGACACAGGGCCTGTAGGCCCTTGTTTTCAGGCTTTCAGGCTGAAACAACACAGGGCCTGAAAATGGCCCTCGTTTGCAGGCGCAGCATGTAACACACACACACACACACAGTTTTCAGGGTTGTAGAGCGACAGTCTGCTAGGATTGCAGGGTTGGTGTCAGTGAAGTTGACCACTTTTCTCGCTCAGGGAAGCATATCACTAACTCTGGGCATCATGGTGAGTATCCATCAGTTTGTCTAGGTTCAACCTCTTGATGGAACTGGGTTGAAGCTCAAACGTGGCCAAAAGTACCAGATTTTTTTGTGGGCCTTGGACGGACCTGGAAGCGGCCAGAAGGAACTGTTTAGGGGCCCTTGGACGGAACGGGAAGTCACCAGAAGGAACTGGTACCGGATCGCTGCGCAACAGGCCATCCAGCACGAAAGAATGTCAAACGGTTTGAAGTCAGAATAGGATAGGGTCTGTTTCAGAATAGTAGAGGGTACCAGATGGGAACTGGGTGGGTTTGTGGGTGGGTTTGAAGAGTCAGATGATTTGAAGTCAGCGTACGATAGGGTCTGTTTCAGACGGGGCAGCGATAGTAGGGAACATACCATCATTAGCGAAGTTTGTGGTTTTGTCGGGAATTTCGGCTGGTATGAAGGGCGGATCACTGCCGAGTTCAGTCTCCTTCAGTGACTGAACGCGTGAAGACGCCGTATGGAATGAGTACGCACGGGTGGGTCTTGGGTCGTGGTCAGACTGGGGGTGACGTGGGTGAGACCCGAGGACAGTATCGGCAATTTGTGTCCCCTTTCTTGTGTCGGAATCTCAATACTCGTATGCAATTTGGTTGTACATCTGTGTGTTATTGTACATCTTTGTGCTTCTACAATTGCTTAAACTGGATATTTATGAAATCAAACTCCGTAACCTGCTAGGGGGTTATACCTGGACTGGGTGGCGGCACTACGAAAGTCAACCACGAAGACAGAGACAGACGAGGCAGTATAATGAAGGGAGACGATAAGTGAAGCGAGTGGGAAGAAGAGGAACGTTTGGTGATTGGTTGCAGTGCGAAAGACAATGGCTGAAGGATGAGTGGAGAAAGTGTGGCATTGTACATAAAAAAGTCATCCCAATGGGGGGAAGAGCTAGCCCCCCTCTTGCATGTGTGATGTGTACGCTTGTTGAATGCAAGTTTGTACATCTGTACGTTCGTTGGGTACTGATATCCAGCAAAAGGTACATTGATGATTTGCTCATCTACTCGTTCTCTTGAAAGGACTATCCAATCGAGTTGCCTAAAGCATAGGAACGGTCGGAAGGTGCTCTGCAATGTTACCCCGACAGACTGGTGCTGGAGCGAACACATTCGGGATCTGGGATTCTTGACTTTTTGGAAACCAGGATCCTAGTTTCTGCAGGAACGGGATATGTCCTGGTCGCACACAAGTTCAAAAATGAAGGCTCGATCTGGTCAGCTGGGCAACTTCGCTTCCACACCTACAAAGCTTTTTGTTCATATGGGCCAAGGATGGCCGAATTCGCGGTGGTAGCTAATAACATCCTTCGTATTACCTAGAATTGTAACGATCTGGTGACGATCTGTTGGGGTATACTTACCCTGGCTGAAGAGCTGAGGAAATCAGATAACCCAAGAAGATGACCATCTGCAGCCTGAAGTGGATGAAGGGTGGATACGCCTTTTTGGGATCGTATGCTGGAACTCGTCAGCAGCACGTTTTAGTACTGAACCTTGAGTCGTGGCGTGCGGCTATCGCCGTGGTTTGTGTTCCGATTGTCCTGCAAGATTCGCTCGGACTATTGTCTCTGGGAAAGACAAGGAGAAAATATGCGCCATGACACCAACCTGAAAAAAGTCGGCCTGCGAACGAGTAAAGTCTGCAGCTACAGGTAATGGCGGTAAAACGTGTTGCTTCAGTGCTCCACACGATTTTGGTTTCGAAACTTAATTTATCTATTCATTCTGATTTTGGTTTTGAAACTTGATTTATCTATTCATTTTTCTTTTTTCCTTTTAGTGTATTTTCATTGGTTGCTCTTTCGGCCCAGTGCAATGTCGCTGAGTTGCCCCTCGAAAGTACCGAAGGGTGTTACGCCCACACAGTGACGGCGTGGTAAAGGCAAGTAAAGTTTTAGGTATTGCAAGACGTAGTATCAGTGTTAGCAGTTACCTCAATCTGAGTGGCGTATTGACTGGAAGGGTTGAATATTTTTGTGGCGATGGAAATCGTCGGGGACTGGTGGAGGAGGAGATGATGTACGCCATGACAGTAATGCTCAAGTCATCTTTTTCAATTATTTTTTCCATGTGTTGGTAATCTCTTTCTCATAGTGTGGCAGACGGATCCGGTGGGATGGAAGGGGCACGATCGATGGAACACAATCCACTAACTCGCAAGATCTGCTATAATGTGGAGAAGCGGATCACCATGTCGGGATGTGTGTCGAATACTTCAACACTGGCAAGTGAAGGCCAAGGGAGTGCCTTTCGTCATTCCACCACTGGGACTAGGAAGGGCTGGACATACCATGCAAACGGGAACGGAAAGGAGGAGCCATTCGGCAGACAGTGGGGGACTGCACACCGAGGCCGATAGCACTCACGCATTGATGGGCAACTACCTAATACAAATGGTGCAGGAAAGGAAGGAGCGCATGGATCCTAAGAACGTGAAGCAGAAGCAAAGAGAGAGGAGGACGCTAAGTTTGAACGTGAGAGAAAGAGGCTCGAAACATTACAAGAGAAGCAACGGTACAAGGATGGATGGGATGCTAGGCTGTTGTGGGTACTACGAGGAAAGATGCGGCGAGAATCAGATGACGAAGCGAAGAATTATAAAAAGACGAAGACGCGTGAAGAAGAAAAGGAGAGACTAAGGAGGATGATAGCATTGATGGGAAATGACGAGGAGTCAAAACGACGATGAGTTAGTAGCGTTAACGAAGCAGGTGGCAAGTCTGAAGTTGAAAGAGAAGAGGAAGTGTGTGGCGGACACTACCATTGGGAATAGCCCCACGGGTGGTGACACCTATGAAAGAGCAACGGAAAGGATTGGGAGACGAAACGAAGGCGCATATGGAGCAGATCAGGAGTGTGGATGAGGGAAAAGTGAGTAGATCAGTGGTGACGCACAACCTCACTATATTGTTGGGACCGATCTGAAAGATCAGCCTATCACTGAAGCACG